ATATATATATATATATATATATATATATATATATATATATATATATACTTATTTCTGAGCTCAGACAGCTGTGGACGCTGCTCCATTTTCATTGTGTACACCACAGTGATACAAAACAATGGCATAATTGTTCACTTTAAACTAACTGATGACTGATGAAATTATTAAATGGTCCTGAAGTATTAATTGTGGTGAAATGCAGCTTGAAACAGGTTTAGAATACAGATCAGTCGTTTCCTTAAGTGTACCATGAAATCTTTTACTGTATATTATCATAGCGTAACTGGAATTGTAAACAATAATAAAAAAATACATAGTTCCACATTTTTTCTTGCTCCATCCCATTCTAAAAACATGCATATGTAATATTTTATCGATACTGAGCTACATTTCATGAAAAATGACTGAGTCTGAGTTTTAATGAGCTGCATGATATAGGTAAAAGAACTTTTCACCTCTTTTTCTAGACCCGTTGAGTTTTCTAGGTAATCTTCTAGTTACTCCTCTCTTTTCCTTTCTACTTTAGACCTGAGGGACTTTGTGTTTTCTGTCTGGGATCCCAAACTGTGAAACAGACTCAGGATAATGAACTCTTCAGTTCTAAAGACCTATATTTTTCTGGTTTAGGACTCACTTTTGTGTTGTTTTTATGTTTCTGTATTGTTTTTTCTATTAACTGCTGTTTTTACCTACTATTTTTAAAATCTATTTTATTGTTTGTTTGTTTTTACATTAAGATGCTAGTAACAAAAAAAGATGAGCTGCTGCTCTAATCTGTCCCCCAACACAATGAATAAATATCAGAGAATGAAGTATTCAGTCATTTTTATTGATGTATACCAATGTGAGGGTAATTTATGCTAATTAAAAATACAAGTATCTCTGCTAGTGCGTTTCATTACAGTGATGAATCCTTGTGCACGCCAAACTGAAATCATAAAAAAGGCTCGTTCTGTCCTGACAGAAATACATTTTCTTTCTTTTGCAGAGCTTTTAGATCCATAATGTACAGCAACATGCAACACAACACAAGACACAATATCCAACAATGTTCAGTCAGGTCATCTGGATGGTTTCTTTTTTTTTTTCTGAGACGTTTCGTAATTCATCCAAAGGACTTCTTCAATCTGAGAAGCCACCAAACAAAACTAATTCCCACAAACAGCATACTCCCATAGTGGGGAACAAACAGTTTGCTGGTGCTCAAAGTGTTTTGAACCACTTTGGCATGACTATCTCAGCGTAGTTGATGAGGGAGAGGGCGAGCTCCGGAGGAGAGGGCAGGCCCCAGAGGACATCTTAGCACCAGCAAACTGTTTTTTTTTTTTCTACTACGGAGTATGCTGTTCGTGGGATTCAGTTTTGTTTGGCTACTTGGATTGAGGAAGTCCTTTGGATGAAAGACGAAACGTCTCGGCAAAAAAAGAAACCGTCCAGATGACCTGACTGAACATTGTTGGATTTAATACCTGCATTATTGCGCATGAACTTCGATGTTTTGAACAAGACACAATAGTTACCCAAAATAATGCATTTTAATTCAAACAAGGACTTCTGTGCAGATTACCAGGGTGCTTCAGTCAGACATAGACTTTACTTTGTAGGAAATATTTTCAGTGAAAAACTAAAATATTCACTGCAGCACAGGATGCATAGGGCAGATATAACACCTGAAACACTTCATCAGCTGGTGCTCTTATCGTCAGAATGTGTTTGAAGTGTTTGAACAAGGAGTGGAAAATTTAGCTTTAATGAAACAACTCTTTTTGGGGATGTGCTTCAACCGTTAAATACAGAATTTGTATTAAATGAAACATGAGAAACGTCATTTCCTGCAAATATGCAATGTAAATGCTTATTTAATTATTTCCCCTGAAAGCTGCTGAAGAAGTTGGAACTTCTGTGGCAACGTTTTATCGCTAAACTGTTGATGTGAGTGGAATTTGAACGGCTGACATTTGCTGAAAGCAGGAAAACAAAAAGGATAAGCAGCATAAAAATGACAGAAATGTGTGGAAAAAGCTGAACAGAGCAGACATGTAGCAGAAATGAGCAGATTAAACTGAAATGGGCAGAGGGAGGCTGAATAAATTACAATAAATCTGAAATTAGTAAAAAAAAAAAAAAAAAAATGAAATGAGCAGACAAAAGTTGAAATTAAAAAAGAAAATGTAGCTGAAAAGGCAAAAAAAAGAAGCTGAAATCTGCAGAAAGAGGCAGAAAGGAGCATAAAAAGTTGAAATTATTATAAGCATAGGCCCAAATTAGCAACAATAACAAAAAAGTAGCCAAAATATACCAAAAACACAGCTGTAAAATCTACAAAATGCTTAAATTAGCAGAAAGAATATGAAAATGAATAACAAAGTTGAAATGAGCAGAAAGAAGCTGAAAAGGCTGAAGCAGAACAAAAGCTGAAATGAGCTGTAACAGCTTGTAAACATCTCAAACAGTTTGAAGATGTGAAGAGCTCCATTCATTTTAAATAAGAAAAAATATGGCCGAAAAAGTTAAATATTTCAAAAAGTGATAATTGCACAAACACCAAAAGTCATAGCTGGAATGTGCTGAATGAGCCGAACGTTTCGATTTATGAATCGATGAAATAGCACAAAAATTGCGACGCCGAAAAACGGTGTTGAAGAAAATCTGATCTCATCAGCAGAATAATGAACACTCACACAACAAAGTTTAAAGACAAATGGTGATATCTGCTAAACTTTCTTCGTTTGATGGGGCTAAAATGAGCCAAAATGTCTCCACATCACAATTAGGTGTTATTCACTGCTGCAGTTGGAGCCAGCAGATGGTATCATCTCATCTCTCGGAGCTGCTGGCTCCATTAAATCTGACTCCAGTAAGTTCTGGTCGCGCTGGAAGCGAGTAATCACAGCTCAGCCTCGCAGATCAGTCCAGGAGAAGAGAATCCCACGTCACATTCGTTTTCAGTTAACAGAAAACACCTCCTGCAGCAGCACTGTAACGCGTGGTGGTCAGAGGTCAGAGCGGAGCGCTGAAATAGTCTGACAGCGGAGCGGTGCCACGTTTGATTTTCATCACGTCTGAATTTCCTGCCGCTGATTAAAAAGTGGCTCGGGTAAACGCTGAATAATTCTGTTGTTTAAAGATGCTGAGGCCTGATTAAATGTGATGACGGCAGCTCGTGAGATGTTTTTCATTGGACCAATCTGACAGCGACAATCAGCACAATACATCTGCAGTAAAGGGGGAAGTCTGAGATTGTCATCACTGTGTGTTCCCATACAATCGCAAAATTATTGCTCTGCATTTAACCCATCACACCTGAGATACTCCCAGGTGCGGCAGTGGGCAGCTATGTAGGCTCCCGGGGTGCAATTAGGGATTAGGTGTCTTGCTCAGAAACACCACATGTGGGAATTGCTGGGAGTTTAACCTGGGACTTTCTGGTCCCAAGTCGGCTGCTCTACCTCTACTTGTGACGGCCCAACCCATGGCCACACTCTAAAGTCAGTAATTCTTGTGCACTCCATTTATCTTTCACCCAAACACAACACTTTAATTTGCAATAAAATGTTTATTGGTTGGTTTAGATCCACTTGTTCTATCTGTAAGCGTACATATTTAGTTATGTATTTATATCAACTCATTGCTCATTTTTTTTGTGCTTATGGTTAATTCTTTTACCAGTTTTTACGATCCCTGGGAGTGGCCAGGGCTTAGCACACTTAAATACATGGAGCTGATTGGACTGCACCACTAGTTCCTGCTGGAGAGGGGGAACTTGTATTTTCTTTATTTAAAAAAAAAAAGTTTTTGTATTTAAGTGAATATTTGTATTTAATGTTTAATGTTTTTCATTTCCATTTTTGGAGTTTAGTTTATTATCAAACTTAGCTGTACTATGTTGTTTGTTGTAATTAGTGATTGCATTCTGTTGAGTTACCCCTATTGTGTTTTAATGGTCTGATCAGACATTATATATACTCCTGTGTGTCTTTTTTTTTTTTTTTTGGATGGTTGGTTATGTTTGTTTGTGCAGCCAGTTTGTTCACATTTTTGCCTGAGTTCAGTTTTGTTCCACATTAATTTTTGTAAAACATAATCAATTTTTCTAATACTTCCTGTGACTCCTCTTGCTTTTCAACTCAGTCCATCACACCATACCTATTTCTTAACAGACAATATATGCAAATGTTAGGCCTTTTTTCAGCGTTGGTGGTTATTTGCAATCGTTTTTGCAACATAAATTATTTTGGAATGACGTTTGCAGAAAACTAGTAAAGTTAAACCTCATGAAACAAATCAATCAGTTTAGAGGAGATGGGCACAGTGTTAAAATCTTGTAAATGCTGTTTGTGTTACTTTTCACCATCAGATTTGGGCAGAAATTAAAAGACTGGACAAAGTTGTGCTTAGTGGATGTTTTACATAACATCTAGAAAATGTGATGCAAATGAACACAAAATGCTTTTTTTAAAAAAACAACTGAAAATACATTTTGGTTTCAAACACAGCAAAAAAAATAAAAAAAATAAATCCTATTTATTTTCCACCATCCCTCAGTCTCCCTCTCAACCAGGTGCTTTTATTCGCGTTCAGCTCGTTGTGACTGGATCTGTGAGTCAGTCTGGACACTCGATGCCTGAATCCATCGTGTGACCCGTTCGGTGGAAGGGAAACTTGTTGTCTGAGGACGAACAGTCATCAGGTCGGCACCATTCATCGTTCACTTCTTGAAGAATTATGTGGAAATTTGGGCCTTTGCTTCATCATTGGAAGGTTTGCAGACATCCACTGAAATGTACTCCTGACTTTTTTACCCTTCCCTAATTTTACTCCTACAAGAGACAAAAACATTGACAAACACTATTACATGTTAGGATTTTTTTTAGAAACATCCAAAGTTTATGGATGTTTTTAACTACTATGGCTGAGAATGTTAACTCTGCCCATGAACCATATGTTTGGGTTAGTAGAAAGCTGCATGAGGAGATAGGTGAATCTGTGCAGCTGTTGCTTCCATGTCGCCTCGGAGTCTGTGAGCTCAGCTGAACTGATAAGGGTATAAAAAAAGTTTCACACACTGCCTGTAGCAGATTCTTGTGACATGCAGGTACCTCCTGTATATCTGTGTAACCTGCCCTGAAAATCCTTGCACGTCAAAAACGGTTAAAAATCTTCTCCTGTCGTCGAGTGTGGCTCCTTTTGAGTGAGTGAGATAAAGCGAAAACATTTCTCTCCAACAGTGCATGTGTATCCAGATGTGAGTATTTGATTTCTGGTGAGCAGATTTAATTTAGATACTAATCTGTCAATGTGGAACATTTAATAGCAAACAAGGAAAAAAATAAATCATCTTCTGAGTCTGTTGAAATGATCTCAAGTTTTGTGCTTCTGTTTTATTGGGTTCTAATAGTTCATTTCAGCTATGTAGAAACCGTTGTTACTTCCTGTTTGCTGTAAATGCCTTCCTCCTAAATAATCCAAAATCGCAGTTCTCTTTGAAATCTGCTCTATTTTTTATCTTTTTACACTATTTTTACTGTTACAGTCTGCTAACTTTTTTCTTTAATTATAAGCTACTTTAAGACAACTTTTGCTCAAGTTAGCTTTTAACGAGCATTTTTGTACATTTAGCATCTATTTACTGTTTTTTTTTTGCTAGCCATTTGATACTTTGATTTTTAGCTGTTTTATGCTACTTTAAACCAAGCAGTTTTCTTTTATCTAGCTAGAACTTAGCATCTTGTATCTATTAGCTAATTATGTCTCAGCTTGTTGGTCCATAACATAAAATGGAGATTGTTGCGTGCAAATTTCACTTTGCACAAGGTTTAATTGTAATTTTTTTTAATGCTTCAGTCCAAGTCCTCGTCTTCTTCGCATCATGACAAGCTCCCACTGATCTTTATTAAATGTCTGGTGCATGTTTGTTGGAGAAATATGAAATATTGGTGTTTTTATAAAAATGTGTGTTTTGGTTGTGGGAATTATGGCCATGCATGTTGCCTTTTCCACTAAATCTGAGTTTTTTTTTTAAACAAATCAAAGATCATGACTTTGAGTGTTTTACTAAATACCAAAGATCCAGAGCAGATTTGATTTAAATGGCAGAACATTTGACCTTTTCCATTTTCCAGTTTTTGTCAAAGAGCAGTGACTTGTTGAGTCTTTGAAGCAACCCACAGGCGTACAGTATGTTTGCATCAGGCTTCTGCAAGAAAACCCTCCAGTTTCAGAACGTTGCGACGGGGATTTTATCGTCTTGTTTTCTTGACTAAATTTAGCAGTTTAAGATAACTGTCACTTTGCATGAATTTGAGTTTTGACCAAACATAAATTTTTTTTAAATTTAGATTTACAACTTCACATTTCAGCGCCGAGCTGCAATCAAAGAGTGCAAACAATCAGTTTTAATTTCACATCCAAACCAAAAACTAGAAATTACTGGACTAAGAGAACAAAAAATAATAGAATCAATAAAACTTAATTTGTTGACTATTTATTGTGAAAAAGCTGCTTGTAATCAAATAAAAACATTAAATTCTCACACATTTAAGTCAAGTTTTAGCCTTAATGTCCAAAGACAATTGACTAGAGGACATTTTAAGTAAATAAATCAACAATCGGGTTGTAGCTTTATTTATTTATGAAAAAGTAAAGAACGCCTCTGTTTCAGAATCGTTTTTATAACTTTAGATTCTAACTGAAGGATAGAACGTCATTTTAATGTCAGGGGCAACTTTTTCTTTAGGGGAGCAACAATGACTAATGATGGAGTGAAAGAACAAGAACCAGCTCTGTTGTGCTGAGATTTAATCAGAAACAATCAAATAATAAAATAAAACACAATATAAAACCTAGGAAAATAAGAAAATGACTTGATTATGTGCCATTACTCTGTAAACAATCATTATAGATGGACTTTGACTGAAAGTTTTTATGAAGGAATGCAACACATCAACAGGTTTTATTATCAGTTTGTTTCTCAATAAGTGTAAAAATTATATGTTATTTGAAAATGTTAATTTCCATCCCATTGTTTGATTTAATATACTATAGCTTAAAAAAAAACACTCAATGAGATACTGAAACATATGAGTGTGCTATGATGCCTGTTTTGGGTAGTTACGATAGATGTCAATGAAATTTTGGCAATAGGTGAAAAAACCCGAGACTGCACAACAGACAGACTTCACATCATTCAAAGTTTAAACTGGTCGCAGAAAGTTGTACTTTACATGACTGAACTGGCATTTACCTTTAACAGTTGTTCAGCTGACAGTGATGGGTTAATACATATTGAAACAAACTTTTCTTTTTGGTACATAAACAAATTGCACATCCAAACATAGTTTTTTTCTTTCTTTCACCCAGCGTGTATCACAGCTGTAAGACTTACAGTATTCTCCTCCAGCATACAGAGTGTACACCCAAGCCTCCATCCAGAAGAGTATTCTCTAACTTGTCATATGTTTTATATAAAATCCTGCAGAAACATAAAAATCAACGTGTGTGATCATCAGAGGCTTCTGCCGCTCTGGTTCAAACTGGTTTAAGATCTGATCTATAGTTTTCACACAGCGACTGTTTGAGGCTTACTTTTCAGTCTGCTTGCCTCTAATTAAGGCAGTCCCAGGTGATTGGTTACCATGGTGACCACAATGAGCCCCAAGTATGTCCTTTATAGTTCATACATCAACAGGTAGGGATGTTTTTGATTCATTTTAGAGAGTTTCAGGATGAATCAGATGGTGATACAATGCTTCAGCCACTTTTAGTCTCCTCAGAAATGATCTGGTTTGATCTTTTTGGATCCAAAACGCTTGGAGGGACTCAGCTCTGCTGATTGTGGGCTCATTGGTGTTAAACCAGGGGTAAGTCGTCTCCAGACACAGTTGTGCTCTCTGACGCCTCAGCTTTTACGCAGAGCTGCGTCTCAGCGGGGAGCCGCTCTCTGCGCACTTTACGCTCCCGGGTTCATCTGGACCGAGCTGCAGCTCGAGGAGGAGGAGGAGGAGGAGGAGGAGGAGGACACACGATGGAGGCGCAGTAACGGGCAACAGGCGCACCTGCCGCGGATCATAGGCTGTGGTTCTGCTGGAGCTCGGCTCTGGTACCCGGACTTGGGTCATGCAAACGCCGCTCTGAAGCTTTCGGTTCCGTCTCCAGGCTTCAGCAATGAGAGGACAGCAGAGCTCGCGCCCTCTGTCACTGTTGGTTTGCTTCATCGCGCTGTGGAGCACGCGGTAAGTTCGTGCCTTCAAACCTCAGTCTGAGCGGAACCCCCCTCACGGTTCTGTTCCTGCACAGACTCGGACTTTCTGTTCATCTGAAGCCGTGACACGAGATGGAGTCAGCAGGCGCTCCGCGCGCGCACAACGCGCAACAGACCAGTAATCTGATCAAAACACCTCGACCAAACTGAACTCTCATTTTTAATCCGCACAAAAAGTTCCGATGGGAACAGATCGATCCGTTAGAATCTAATTGATCAAATTTAAACTAATCTTTTATTCTTGTAAACGTTATTTTGGTTAAATTGGACTAATCTGGGTCATTTATCTGATTATTTATAATTACATTAACAGATGACACATTACCAGCTGGTATCATTTCCTTGAAAATGACTTTATTAACAGTAAAGGATCATAAGAAAGGATGACAAACCCTTGAAAATAAAGTTATAAGCAATCTCATGTATTGTGTGTCATGCTCAGAGGATGTGTTGAGGATGACTCTCAGCTACTACCACACATGATGTTAGCACATGATCATCTGTAAAACTGACAGCGTTACACCCATTCTCTGTTTTCAAAGGTCCGCTGGATGTTTCAACCATTTCAAATTGCACAGCGGTGCATTCCTGAAACCTCTTGCAGTCGTCAAGAGATATTTTGCTAACAGGGAAGACTGTAGTTAATGCCATGGTTTTAGGTAAAAATGTGCAATGTTTTACGTTCACTGTTTGTTTTGAGGATTTTGCTCAGCTTCAAATTTCAACGTAAAATGAGCTGAATTATAGCTTTATTTTTGAATTTGCTATTATTATAGCTGTGGTGGCCATTCTGATGGAGTTGACTCTAAAAGTTGTAGATCATTCCCTGAAAGCTTTATTAAAATTCATCCAGATGTTTAGATCTGAATGAACAGATGCTCCTCAGGCTTGCTTTAATACGACCCAACCTATAACTGACCGAAAGATTTTATTGATAAAGAAACCCAATTTGATGAGATTATCTCATAAATTGCTCTATTTCAGTTTAACTGTGTTTTAATTTAACATTTATATAAAAAAAGTTAAAACTAACCTTTGCACCATTGAAGATGTTTAAAAGTTAAAGGAGGCTGAAGATGAATCAGCTCATTACTGTACTTTGTCTTCACGTGTAAGCCGTTGTCCTTTCAGGGTGCAGCATCTGTCACATCGTTTTGTAAAACCCGTTCTCGGGTCGCTGAGTCGATTTGAGCTAAATTTAACACTTTGAACTCTCAGTTACATGTTTCACATTTGGGCTGTGAAATCAGTGTCTGCAGAAACTTTTCAGACGAGATAATATACAAACACTTTGTGTTGCATACGGCGACGAGATAAAATGTTTATGTTCAGGCAGGCTACAATGTGTTCATGTTTAGTTGACTTCACTTGTTTCCAAAGAATCCTGGAAAAAAAAAGTTAAGTTTAAATTTGACCCAAACATCCATCGTGTTTTTTATGTTTTTATTTTATTTTGGCTGCTTTTCCCTCTCACCCTTTGGATCTCCTATCAGATCACTCAGCTTGCAGCTCTTGAGGCTATACTTAAAAAAAAAAGGTTTTAGAAATTAGTTTATGTTCAAGAATCAGAATTTATATGTACTTTTCTTTATATTTGTTTTCAGAAGATATTCCTTCTAACATTTTCTTTTCTTGAGATCTGACCATGTTATTTACAACCCTAATTCCTCTAACTTTGGATATTGTGGAAACAATAAATAAAAACCGAATGCAATGAGGGCAGCACGGTGGAACAGCGTGTAGAGCTGCTTCCTCTCAGCGAGCAGGTTGCCCTGGTTCAAATCCCAGTCTGGAGCCCATTCTGGGTGGAGTTTGCATGTTCTCTCTGTGCATGTGTGGGTTTTCTCTGGTTTCCTCCCACAGCCCAGAAACACGCATGTTAGACTGATTGGTAACTGAGTGAGGGAGTGAATGGTTGTTTGTCTCTATGTCCCTGTGATGGACTTGCGACCTGTCCAGGGTGTCCCCCCGCTTCTCACACAGTGACTGCTAGACATGGGCACCAGTGACCCCCACGACCCAAAAAGGAAGACGTGGGTAAAGATAACAGATGGATGGATAAATGCAATGATCTGGAAATCTCATAACTCCGTAGTTTCCACACAAATGAACAAAGTATGAAATCTTGAAACTAATAAATTGAACAGTTTTTATGAAATCTAAGACAACACATTGTAAAAAAAAAAGTTACACGAATGTCCTGTGAAGGACTCTGGCTGGTCAACAGTCCCGGCTTTTCTTTGTCTGAATATTCCTCGATAGGATGTTTATTTATATAGCGCCAAGCCATAATAGAAGTCATCTCAGGGCACTGAACAGAGATACTAATGCACCCCCATAGCATCAGAGAGGTCATCTTTTGAGCTCTGCACTGATAACAGACGGTCCCTCTCTTTAGAACAGAGGATGTGGCATCTATTGGTTCCTAAAAGATTGTCCATTTTTGATCTGTCTGACCACAGAACAGTTCTGGACTTTGCCTCAGCCCAGTTGAAATAAGCAGCGGTTCTGGTTGGTGTCCACATGTGGCTTCTTCTTTGCCTGACAGAGCTTTAAGCAGCATCTGTGGGTGAACTGTGTTTACAGACAATTACCTGTGGACGTGTACCTGAGCCCAGAACAGAACCAGACCTGGCTGTAATGCAATGGCCCCTGAGGGCCCGAAGATCACGACCTTTGAGCTCAGAGGTTTCTGCTGCTTCTTCTCTTTGATGACAGTATAAACTGGTGATGATGAGGATTTTCAAAGTCTTCCCAGTTTTACTTTGAGGAACTTTATTCTGAAATTGTTCCACTATTTTTAGAATTTTTCATAGACTGATGCCGATCTTTACTTCTGATTCAGCCTCTATAAATTTCTCCCAGTTCTCTTCTTACCCATCGATAATTTATTTAATTGATCACAAAAAGCTCCTCCAGTTGGTTTATATTCATTCCACTTACTTATACGGCTTTTTTTTTTTGCTCCTGACTGAACTTTTTTGAGATTAGTTGCTTCCATAAAATTCAAAATTACCTAATTTCCCTTAAAAAACCCCCCATAATTTCTTAGTTTAAATATTAGATGTTTTATGTTTCACTGTGGATAAAATAGGGGGGTTATGAAATGTGCAAATTATTGCGCTCAGTTTATATTTTTATTTTACAGAACATCTCAATTTGTCTTGTGTGGAGAATGAAAATTAAACAAAAAACATGCACTGTAGCAAAAAAAAGTCATCAAATCACCTGACTTTTTAGCAATCATATCCTTGTTAATATTTTATATTTTCAGAATTACTAGCTTTGTTTAATGAAATCTACAAAAGCTATACTTGATCTTCGCTTGTTCCAACGTATCATGACTTCCTCTGTAACAGAGATGTTGTTTCCTGTGGATAAACTTTTTATTTTGCCGTTAAAGGAGGTCATTCTTTTGGATATAAGGTTTACGTATTCATTTTTTTTTCAGGTCACGAGCAGATTCTAATTCCACGCGGAGCACCAAAGACATCGCGACTTTTACCAGGATCCTCGACAGTCTTCTGGATGGATACGACAACCGGCTGAGACCTGGTCTGGGAGGTAAGGCCGCAATCTGAGGACGAACAAATCCAAAAAATTAAAAAGTTACAATCAAAGCAGCAAAGACAGAAATGTTCAACGTCGGGAGGATTTTCCACACTATACAAAAACACTTTTTATATGCACGAATATTGGACTGAATCCAAAATTACTCGCTGGATTCCCAACATTATCAACTATTAACACTTTGAATCTGCACTTTTAATGTAACGCTGTCCGTGGTGCGGATGAGAGAAGGGGCTGATATTTGAAAGGAAAATGTAATTTCCCAGAGAAGAGTCATTTCATGATGGATGAACTCCCTCCCGTTCATCCTGCTTTGCATTTGCGAGAGTATCTGTCTGTTTTTAAGCTTCTGTCAGCCTTCATTTGAACACGGCTCTTTAAAAATACACCAATTTAAAAAAGGAAATTCAGCCCTGGGATGAAAATTTTGAGTTCTACGCCGCTGAGGGAACACAACGTGAGCGTAATGAGCTGTTCCTGTGTCTGCATCTTAAACCTGAGTCCTTTTATTCGATGAAAATACCTTTCAGGATTATAAATAAAAGACTTGCAAACAGCTATTAGAAAACATTGCCACATCTGTTACAGATGTGGGAGGACTGAGCTCATTTGGACAGCGGTTTTATATCTGGATCTGATCTCAAAGCTTGTTGCTCGGAAAAATGTTTAAATCGGACAGAAAAACAGAGATGACGGGGTTAATCAGCTGCACGACAGTTCACTGAAGAAATCTGATTTTATGCAAAAAGCGCACCCGATGTTTGGTTTTATCTTTGCATCTAATTTACATTCAGTTGTTCTGCCCATAAAATATTAGAATACAGAATATCTGTTCAGGGCCGTCCAACCGGATGTTAAAGTTCATGCTCTGGTTTTTGAAGAAAAGAAAAAAAAACTAAACCTAAAATTTTCTCATGATGTGAGGAGTTGAAGCCGTTCTTGCTACACTTTGTACATTTTTATTTTGCACATCTCACGTGATCCGTGCTTGGAGTTCGTAATGAGGATGACTCAGCTATGACCAAACAAAATATTAGCCTAGTATTAGTCAAATGAGCTAAATTGTGTTTAACTGAATACCCAGAGACAAAGACTGAGGAGTGAACAAACGTCAAGACAGAGAATGAATTTAAAGGGATTTTATTTACAGTGGGTAATAAAGCACAGGAACCCCGAGGAGCAAGGACACGAGTTAGATGATAGTTTCCAAGAGGAGGATGATATTGTTGGTAGATTTCAGATCTTACTGTAGGTTGGGTAGTAGGGCGTGTGGTTGGAAGGCAGCTGAAGAGACAATAGATGTCTAGGTGTTCTTCAAAGAAGTCCAGGTAGTTCACAAGGAGAGACGTTATAAATAGTAGTGCTGGGTAGATGAAGTGTCATGAAGCGTTTCAACACATTGCCAAACTGAATTGATACTGTATCAGTGAATACCCACACCTGCTGGAACTTAAAATTCCCTACAGGCAACTTAGTTAGACTCAACTGACACTGATTTGATGACCTACACAATAATATAATTTAAGTAATTGTATTTTATATCGTAGTATTTCATATCTTCATTTAATGTGAACATGTATCATAATGTGAAAATATAAGTGAACGTGTTGTGAATGAGTATGCTTGTGGGATGGGATTTTTTTTTTTTAAACAAATTTTTATTAAAAAAATAAGTTATAAATAAGCTGAGGGGGTGGCAGTCCTCATCCAGCATCTGCTTCCTGGAAGCTTGATGGTTAAAAACGAGAGAAATAATAAATAAATAGGAATTAATTATCAATAAAGCAACTGGGTAAGTTGTAGAATGGCTGTACAATGAGTTGACCCTGGATGCACTTCATGCTCAGGCCTGGCTCTATAATGCCTCAGCATTGAGGAGGTGGATTTATTTAAATATGAACGCTCTGTCGAACAAATGCGACATTTAACCTACATAAAATAATATGAGTAATAAACTAAAAGTCACTTTGTAATGAATTTGAATTCAGATAGATCAAGTGGAAACTCTGAGAGGAACAGGATGAAACAAGGAGATTAAAACAAATACCTTATTTTCCGATATGAGATCAACATGGTCCCAAATGGCGAAAACCTTTTTTGGTTTGAGGCTGCTTCATAATTCTTGATGAATTCAAAGATGACCAGCAAAAGATCCAAGATTCTTTTGGCAGATGCCAAAACGTTTCCTAATAAACACAGTTTGGCATCGGTCATGTGACTTTCTAAAAGCAGTCCACGCACCGACACAGGTTTTGCTCGATGAGCTCGTTGCATGCGCCGACACATCGGTGTTGCCGGACCCATCACTAATAAACAGTCGTTCTCAAGGAGCACAGAATACAAATGGGCTAGAACCACAACTACCAGAGGCAGGTAATGCTCCAGCAGCGTGTAGAAGTCATCTAGTGTCTTCAGAGCAGCAGGAGAAAAAGGAACTCTCACATCTATAGCTTTTTTTGTTCTGACTCACTGTTTCCTTATGATTCAGACTTTTTGGCTCTTTTTTTCAGATGTTCTTGCAGCTGCATTAATTAAACACCTTATCGCTGAACCTTAATTACATTTGAACCACTAATTATAGGCACAGTACATTCAGCATGATAGGCTAATAATTATCCATAAAAAATCTTCAAAATATCTGTGACGCACAGCTGGACGACAATCTGAGGTTTGAACTTGAGTTACCAAACTGGCTCAGTTCTGAACTGGATCAGCTCTTAGAAGAACCAAACTCAGACAAATTGTTCTAAATCTTCTCGATGGTTTCCTTTCTGGTCATCTGTGCAGCGTAAAGACGGAGCTTCTCACGCTTTTCAGAATCGTTTAGTTCTGATGTTTTGATTCCGACGGTTTGTTACTGTTCCACCTCAGCTCGAGTCTGGCGGTAGCAAACGATGCGGAGAGCGTTTCAAGAAGCACTCGTGTATGATTTATTTTTGCAGTACAAAAGGTGTCAAAGACTTCATGAATAGTTTGAGGTGTGCTTCTTGAGTTTGCAGGCTGATGCAACGGCTCAAATTAATTCAAAGCTTGATTTTTTTCTCTTTATTTTGTTAAAAGTAGTTTACTCTTTGCATGTTTTGTGGTTAAACTCTACATCATTTCATAAAAATTAAATTGTGCACTGAATTTTTTCATGTGCACTCACTTGCTGCTGATTTCTGCCTTCGTCTGTCGTGTCACCGACATAATGGCCGTAATTTTAATCTAGAAATTCACCTCAAATTTTAAGATTTACCAAAAGGCTGCAGGCAGGAAGTGATGATTTCACTCGTTTCTGGTTGTGTGTGCTTTTTTTCTGTTGTGTTAGAAAAATATTATTCAAACCAGAGGATGGATCTTAGTGAAACTTTCAGAAAATTTTAATTGGATGTACGACTTCTTTACTTTCAACTCAGCTTGATTAAAGATGGCTGCCACATTTAGGTGAACTCATTAAACACAAAAATGGCTCTAACTCAGATGATTTCACATATAATGAGCTAAACTTTAGTAGCTGAGCATCATCCTCAACTCCTATTCAAAGCACTACACATTGTGCAATGTTTTTACGTAAAACCTTGGCATTGACTCTTGGTGTCAACACTGCCTGTCTGTTAGCAAAATATCTCAAGAACCACTTGACAGATTTGAGTGAAACTCTCAGAAACTAATCATCAGAGGTACTTTTATAACTGACTACATTTTGGAGTGCACCCAATTTAAGATGGCCAGCACAGCTAACTGAACCTAGCACAAAATGGCGATAACGTAGTAATTTCATACAGATATTGAGTTATAATTTGCAGGAAATCTGAGCTCTAAAATATCTGCTTAGAGCGCACTAAATTGTATGAAATTGTGCATAACATCATTTGTATGGTTTAGGTCATGTCTGCAACGTTTCTGATCAAAAGTCATTTCTGCTCCTTGGATCTCTAAATAAAATGTGTTGAGTTGGTTGGAGCAACCAGTTGGGGTGACATTATAAAACTAAAATTATAATGAATTTTAACATTTATAGCTTTACATTTTAGGACAAAAAACATCATGTAAAGAAGGAAAAAAACGTTTAATTTATACAGATTTAGCTCATAATTAAAACACTGAACTCTGCAGGTCTATGCGTGTCCTCCTTTTTATGTGAGGAAACATTAATTATCCCTTTTTAGCAAAAATTTGAATAAAAACATTTGCAGAAAATTGGCTAAAATCTGCTAAAACTTTTTTTTTTTAGTGTGGAAATAAATACCATTGTAATTAACTCCAAAGCGCCACAGATGAAGCCACGTGTGGCTCTGGAGCCGCAGGTTGCGGACCCTTAGTTCAGGTAAAATGGCCAAACTTCATGCACTTTAAACATTTAAACACTCTGGCATGAAAATCAGCAGGTGATTCACATTCCTTAATGCCAAACCTTTAATTCAAAAGCTTTATCTGTAAGGAACAAAACTTATTTCTCTCCTGCAGTTAAATAATAACAAAACTTTATTTTCTCCATTAAAAAAGGAAAGCTTCAATCAAATTATAAAGTTTAACTGGCTGCAAACTCAGCTAAAACCACTGCAGGAAGTTGAGTCGTTCTCGTCTAAACGTTGATGCCGACACGTGGGATGATCTTCTGGGTGCACGATCGGTGCCGTTCACTTCACACCTCAGACTTTTAAATGTCCCGCACATTTGTGGGTTTCGAGGAACATAAAGCAAACGATGTCAGTGTCACCTTCAGCAGCTGCAAACAGACAGATTATAGTAATATACGACTCCATCAGCTGCGATCGTTCAAGGCTCCGTTTGTACTCTGTGGGCGAGCTGGAAGCTCAGAGCTGCTTCTTCATTTGGTCGTCGGCGACATTAGAAATGAAAATTACGAACATCGTTTAATCTCCTGGTTTAAACACGACAACTGCTTTATTCATGTAGGTAAAGTAGAGGGTTTAAATACAGTAATTTAATCATATGGAGCAGATCAAATAAAAAATATACAATCGCTTACATGCCATTTCATTTGTTTTTTTAATATGTACAAGTATTGCAATTTGGAGGTTGTCTGAGTTCAACCCACATTAGAAACTAAAACTGTGAATACTTTAACATCTTAAATGTTGCTCAGTATTTTATTTATCAGGTCTCTTGCTTTTATTTTGTGACATTTCTGACTAAATTTCACTCTTTGTTTTTACAGACCGAGTGACCGAGGTGAAGACAAACATCTATGTGACCAGTTTTGGACCCGTGTCCGACACAGATATGGCAAGTCCCCCCCCCCCCATCCCGAGAAACAGGGTTCAGCTGCAGGTTCCAAACCGTTCAACTAAGAGAGAACAAAGAAAGTTGATCAAACGACAAACTTTGGTTTCAGTGATGTCCAGTTGCCACTCAAAAACTGATGTGAATGGATTAGTAGATTGGTCCAGTTATGGTAAAGGCATATATTCTAAACAACCTGCATTTCTTCTAAAAACGTTTGGGTCTCTATTAGTTTTTGATTCCAGGTGAAACTGCAGCAGCTTTTACACACGGAGCAGCTTAAGTTACAAACTTATTATAAATGTTGAATATCTGCTGGTGATTCTCATGAAGTTTGCTTTAGTTCTTGTTTCAGAAATCAACATCTACCATTTTTTTGGACTATAGGGTGCACTTAAAATCATTTAATTTTCTTCAAAATCAACAGTGAGTCTTATAATGGTGCACCTTATGTATTAATTCTGGTTGTGCTTACTGACCTCGAACCGATTTTATGTGGACACCTTATAGTCTGAAAAATACGGTACATACTTGTAAAATAAATGTTAGGAAGAAATAAAGAGCAAATAGCATATATTAGAACATTTCTCCTGTATACATTTACTATGTTTAAAAAAATAACTTGTACAGGAACAGATGTTTTCTTCAAATTAAAAGCTTCACAGGTATAAAAACACAATGCGGTTGCCTAACAGAGCCAAATGTTGACTCGAACAGTTAATTGCTGCCGTGGTGCCGTCTAATTAGGTAACAGCGTCATTTATTGAAACAGTCTTACTTTGGACCAACATGGGCGTCAGAAATCCGCCTCTCAGTCCGACTGATCAAATCTCACAGCTGCCTTATTCCTGAGCAGTCTGGATGTGATTACACGTTCGACAGATAAAATCTTCCAGACAGACAGAGAGAGAAAGATCTGCCCGTTCTCCTGTTGCCATTGGAAACCCATCCAGTCCAATCAGCAGAGTGATGACATGGCAAAGGTTTGAGTTTGTTATTAAAATGATCCACCATCACCCAGCTCTGATACGGAGCTGTTGATGTGTTGAACGTTAAAATATGAAGGTGAGCCGTAAAACCGCTGCTTCACGACGTCGAGCAACACAGTCCTCACTTAGGGAGACAAATACTGACTGTTTAGGCCCATTTTGAAAACAATCAGGTACAAGACATGAGAGCAAACACAAAGAAAGGACATCTGTCAATAAGTGTGACGGAAAAAAAAAACATATAAATGTTCTAATTATTTAAGCTACAACACAAAATCATCCCCAGTCTTTAAAAGATGTGGCCCTGAAGGCAACACATGTTGCTGTAAAACACTTTCTGCATCAGTGCTGCCATCACAGACTCCTGATCCAAGCCCAGACCGTCACAGAACCAAGCTTTTGACCTTGGTACTGACACCAATCTGGATGTTCCTCTCTTTCTCTTCTCTGGCACCCACAGCATCCATTTCCTCCATCAAAGATCTGAAATACTGAATATCTGAACACAATCCACTGTTTTCCACTCATTTCCACCTCTGAACCAGGCTTCTTTGTCTGGATCTGTCTTTTTTAGTTATTTATTTAGTTTTCTGTGATTAATTTATTTAGTTTTCTGTGATTTATTAGTTTCCCCAGTGTTCTCCCCCACATGTAGTTCAGCCCCTGCCCCTCCCACTCTCACCTCGTTGTTTTCCCCAGGTGTGTGTCATTGGCCCTCATTAGTTTCCCTTTAAAGCTTGTCTCTGTGTCTTTGGTGTCTGTGCATTATGCTTTTAAGCTGACAGGTTTTTTTTTTCCCTTCAGAGTTTTCCTGAGAAATTAGCTGGCGACTCATAATTGACAGCAAATAGTAAAGTTTTCCATTGCAGTCTATTTAATTTCTTAGTGTTTGCGAGCTGCGCCTCAGCTTGAGTGACCAACAATTAAAAATCATGACCTGTTTTACCGTGCATTACCGTGCAAATCATATATTTTGGTGTCTCTCTTGGCTGATATAGCACCGACTTTAGCAGCAGCTCAAACTTTATGACTTAATCTGCTGGAGTACAGTTTTGAAATGAAGACGGGCAGATTTGAATCAGGTTTTTTTTTAAAGTAAATTTGTGCAGGTGTGAAAATACAGCTCTAATATTTCATAGTTGAGTTTAGGATGCTCACATTGACTGAACTTTTTAGGATAAAATTTGTTGCACAAATTCTGAGTATGTTTAAAATGGAAGTGACAGGATTGACGTAAAGAAAAAAAGATCCACCACCAATGTTCTGGAGACGCCCTCATGAAGGCTGCTGTCCAGTTGCTCCCAGCTCAGTGAGATATCTAAAGCTCCCAGAAATTCCACTTGGTTCTTGAAACGGTTTCATGAAGTTCTACTCTACAGTGGGGAAATCAGCAATATTTTTCCAATCTTTCTATGAGGACCTTTGATTTCAATCAGTTTGTTGTCAGCTCCTCTGATCTCGCTTGATCTGTTTGCACTTGGAGCACTTGGAGTACATGTTGTGAATGGTTGTCAGCCCAACCTTGTTTACCTTTAAGTTATCTGCAAAAGAATCAATGGAAAATTAAAAAGCAATCTTTTTTTTTTTTTGTCACTGTTGAAACTATTTCTGATTTGTTGCTGTACATGTAAAGAAATCTTGGACTTTCTTTTATCTGAGGTAAAAAAAAAAACACTATTTTTTCTGTTCCGCGTTAGTCAACGCTCGGTTTCCTGACTGGGCGACTCCTCTCTCCCATAACACTCTCCTTTCCATCTTAAGAGCCCACCACTCTCTTCCTGTTACAATATGAGCCCATTCATCAACCCCACCTGGTTCTCAAATATTTAAGTGGTACAGAGCTCAAAGATGGAAGTGGCTATGATCGAGGCAGTGCCTTCAAAAGGAGGGAGAGATGGCCTCATATTTAATACATGTCATGTCTCCATCAAAATTGCAACAGATAATTGCACTCGGGCTGTCTTTTCTGTGCTTGTGATAGCTCTGCTCTGTTCCCTCAGATTGGATACGTCCCTGCAGCTCCCTTTGCCTGATTGTTTGTCTTTGCCGGTTTCTTTGTGCTGGTGCAGATTCTGTAAAATCAGAGAACGAGAGAGAGAGAGAGAGACTCTAATCTTTTGACATTCTGAAAAATTACCGTAACATTTTTATCTGTGAAATGATGGAGTCTGCAAAAAAAGTGGCAGAACTGTCATGTCAGGAGGACATTCAGGAAGTGATGCAGCACCTGCAACCAACTGCTGGAGACGATGGGCGAGCCGGATGGTCCAGGGAGACTTGTCCTCTGAGAACATGGACGGAACCAGGACAGAACAGAAATACAGTAGTCCCTTGATTTATCGCGATTTGTCCCCCGACCCACGATAAGTTAAAACTGTGAAGCTGGAACGTTATTTTATTTGAGTATTTATATATGTTTTAAGGCTTTATAAACCCTTCCCACATTCTTGCAATGTTCTAAACGTTTAAACCTACATAATTTTAACAAATGTATATGTACTGTACAAAATTGCAAAATATCATATGGGTACTCACCAGCCTTGGTCCAATTCTGGTCTGGTTCTGATCAGCTCTCTGCAGCCAGTGAGCACCAGAAACTTTTAGAGACAGCTGGATCTTCAGAGAGCCAGCACAAAACAACTCAATGGTCCTGATAGAGTTCAAATAATCCAGAGAAATCCAATGAAATAGTCTGGGTGAGCTCTGGAGAAGACATTGGACGTCCAAGCAATGCCTCCCCACTTGAGAGGCTTCCTGGGCTGGCAAGCAGCACTCAGATTGACCAATGAGTCTGGAAGTAGTCCTGGTCCAATTCCTGGTCAGTTCCATACGGCTCTCTGCATCCACTGAGCGTCAAAGTTACTATGAATCAGGATCAAACTTTTTAGTCAGGTTTGCATTGGATCAAAACTTTCCCTCCATTTCGGCCGAAAGCAGTGGCCGAAAGCACAGTTTGTTTCTGGGTAATGTAGTTCTTTTGGATTGGAGATAGGCTTATTGACAGAAAACGACAAAATTTTGGCGCCTGTCCAAAGTATTTTTTTCCGTTAACTTTTTATCTCATATCATCTAGGGATGCATGATATTGGATTTTTGGCCGATATCCAATATGTTAAAACTTATTCGGCCGATAACTGATGCCGATACGGATATTGTATATACGTTCCTTTGTCAGAACATAGTCCTCTTATTTAGGCTTATTTGCTACAAAAATTGTGCAACACTTGTAAGAGCTGGTGACATATATTCAGTAACAGCCATATGACATGCATAGCACTTTGACTTATATTAAATGAAAAGTGTTAAATGTTATTAGCATTAGTCACCTGCGACGCTGTCTCACTTATGGAGGCTTGTTCCAGGTTCCTATAGCTGCAGTGTGGGTTCCTCTGCACTCGTGTGCATGAAGGACAGCCTTTTTAAGTTCAAAGTTTTTTTGTCTATCCATTGTGCCGTAAGACTAATCATCCTAACGGGATGAACACGACGTCCAAATGTCTGTGGTAAAACTCACCCAACAAGTCGTGCTATCGGCTGTTAGCTTCTCAACGACGTCGGAAATGACGGCTGGTAACTCGAGTAACGTTACGTCGGAAAAATATCTCCAACTGGGGACGATGTAGCGAGGCTCATCGTACTCCATAAATATTTGGAATCCGACATCCTCACCAACAAAAAATAAAACTTCCACACCACCGACATTTTGAATTTTCCTCTCCACCGTGAGCTTGGGTAGGCACACGTGACGTCATCGCGTTGCGCTGCCGATGCAGACAAAACCGGCTCCTTTTATATCGCCGAGTTATTTTAATGGAATGGCCGATGTCCAATATTGAATTTTAATGCTAATATGGGACGATACCATGCCGATAATATCGTGCATCCCTAGTATCATCCCAATCATGTAATATTAAAGTTCACAATCGTTGAAACACTGCGAAAGAGCGAGTCCACAAAAGTCAAACCGTGAAGTAGTGAGGGACTACTTTAACTTCAAGATATTTGCTTTATCTGATGAAATCGGATGCAAAAAATACAGAGCGCTGTGTTATCATACTGACGTTTAGCACAACACTAATCAAAATGCTCAGAAAAATCTCCAAAGAAATGTGTTTTTTAATCTGTGCAATCAGCTAAAACTACTGTGACGTTCTGTGAAAGAAACCCACAGTTGGATTTTTATTTTAAAGGCTGCAGCTTTGAAGTTATGGGGTTTGATTACAGCTGAGATAATCTTTATGTTCAGCGATGGACCAAAATGTGTTTTATTTTATGGCCAGTACTCACTGAAATCAAGGCAGACGCTCACTGAAACAGTCCAACGGTGCCATAAACAAAACTATTTATTCAGATGGATAGCAAAGTATAGCATTTACAAATCAGGATTATCAAAGGTTTGAAGCACTTTTTGGCAAAATCTGCATTAGTGTGCAAAGTGTGATTACTCTATCTGACCACCACCCCACCTCTGACTGCCCTTTATGAAATCAGATCCTGGTTCTCCATCAACTTCCTCCAAACTAAACAGTGACAAAACTACTTCTTACTGGCACAAAATCCACCCTTGCAAAAAACAGCAACTTTTCCAGTCATAGACAACACCCCAGCTTCCCGTCTACACAGGTTACGTGTCTCGGTGTCATACCTAGACAACACATTATCATTTAAATCATATATCGACAACATCACTGGTTCAGCACCTCCGTAACATCACATGCCTTCGCCATCCCTCTAACCCAACAGTTTTGCTCTTCTGGTTCACTCTTTGGTCACATCCCGCCTAGATTACTGCAACTCCCTTCTTTTTGGTTTACTTACAAAATCCATCCATAAACTCCAGCTGGTCCAAATATCTGCTGCTTCATCATCTCCAGAACCCCTTCCACCAGTCATGTAATGCCTATTCTGTAGCTTCTTCACTGGCTCCACATTAAATATCACATTTCCTACAAAATCCTGCTCCACGATTGGACCTTAGATCCACGGTTTCTGTATCTGTAAGTCCCTGGAAGCTTCAGGGTCAGTTATGAACAGGAGTTCTTCCCAGAAGTTCTGCATCTCATGAAGTCATGTGAAAACAAAGGATTGAAGCAGAGCGAGTGGGAGACGTTTCCACTCTGTAAGTTTTTGATGTAAACCGTGTCTGTCAGTCGCCTGAGGCAACAGCTGGATCTAAAACCGACAGATGTGTCAGAACCTGGCCAGGTGTCACGTTGGGTCAAGATGTGATCACACAGCCAGCTCCATCTAGGAAGGAGGCACCTGATGAAGATCACAGTTTAGTTACTTTTTATAGCTTCACGGAGAATTTGACTGATTTTCACGACAGTTAAATAAGACATTTTATTAAGAGTTTGACTGATTCTTCAGTGTCTGACTAAAAAACTAAAGGCAATTTTTAAAATGCGTTCTTGAGATTTTTGAACGTGTTCAAAATGCTTCAAATATTTGTTCTTTACTGCATGTAAGAAATTTGCATCCAGTTGAGTGTTTTTATTTCCAATAATTCTGCAGACAGAGATGGAGTGAACCTCTAATGAATAAACCAAAAATATGCGGAAAGAAAAGTTGGTTTTAAAACAAAGTTCACCTCGAGCGCCTGGCATCAGTTTGCATCATGGGTCCATCCACTAAACTCTTCACCAACCTTGGCATGATATTTTCCTAAATGTGTAAAGATAAACCTAATTAATTAAATGAATGGCACATGATTCTCTGAAGCTCAAATGGGAAGCTGCAGCTTGTTATCAAAGGCGAAGGCTGATGGTGTTTTGTTCATGTGTGCTCTTCTGTATTATTAGCAGAATGCCTCATGAATCACTTTAAATGTTAATGAAAATCTCAGATAACAATCATTGGCTGCTCATCTACAACTGATTAACCTTTGGAGTCAACCCCAGTCTAATGGTAAATGGACTGTGCCTTTCTAGCCAATCAGGCTGTTCAAAGCGCTTCACAACGCAATCCGTGCCCTCATTTACTCATCCATACAGCTCTCGATCACGTCTAAGTTAAACTGAATAAATCATGTTACAAAGACTAATCAGTGCTTTAGATCATATTCATGGGGCATTCGCCGGAAGTGATGAGGGTTTCAATGACATGTGACTGTGTACTGGTGGAATCGAACCTCTGACACTCCCGTCTAACTCCTGATCCACAGTTGCTCAAGATGGCTTCTACACCCTATATGTGGAGTAGTAGTAGCTGAAAGTAGAGTTGCATTTGGGCCCAAAAAAATCCAATCTGACCCGGCTCCAGCCTGTAGCCATCATTTCCGAACTCCATCTGACCCGACGAATTGACAGTAATTATAGGTCCGAACTTGAACCCCCGCCCCCCTGACATTTTTAATTAAGCTTCAACTGCTTATATAGTTATTAATGGACAGCAGACGCACACGGTTGAATAAAGGGGGGCAGAAGATTGTAGCTGAGGGGGTGTTTGTCCTTTCATGGCCGTCATAGTGCATTAAATCCCTGTTTCTGCCTGCATTCTGCATTATTCAGACATGGACCCTGATCTGACATGTTTGCTTTGGGATCTCACCTGTTTGGGTCTTTGGCTGAGCGCGTCCGCTGAGTGCAGCGGCTGAACGTCCATTTGGGCTTTGATGGATCGCTTCCTGGCATTACATGTTGTCCCATCTGAAGCTCATCTGTACTTTATTTTACCTCTTTCAAGGCCAGTCAGAACACAGTCAAATGGCTGCAAGCTATTGGTGGTTGTATGGCAAGCCATGTTGCCATATATTTGGATCACCAGCCTCACGTATCCGCTGATGCAATTAAAAGCCAGACATCGACCTGATCTGCCTATCCAGCACATTATCATGACCTGGCCCGGCCCAAATTTGGGTCAGGCCAGGCTTTGGGCCCGGGTTAGAAATGACAGCTCTAGCTGAAAGTCGTTCACAGCATGTACTTTAAACTCTAACAGATCATTTGCTTTATTTTTATTTTCATAGTTTGACCAAAACTGTTTTACTGCCAATATTTCACTGGCAGCAGGTGCATTCCTTCAAGGTACGCTTGAAATTAAATATTAAAAAAAGCATTTGTCATCTTCAGGAATACACGGTGGATGTTTTCTTCCGTCAGTATTGGAAAGATGAGCGGCTGAAGTTTCACGGACCAATGAACATTCTGCCTCTCAACAACCTGATGGCCAGTAAGATCTGGACTCCTGACACTTTCTTCCACAACGGCAAGAAATCCGTGGCCCACAACATGACGATGCCCAACAAGCTGCTGAGGATCATGGAGGACGGAGAACTGCTCTACACCATGAGGTTTGTCTTCTTTTTCTGTTTACCCTATATTTTCTCTCAGTTATTTACAGTTCAGCCGGGGATCCATGTTAACTGTAAGCTGGAGTATTTTCCACTGTAAAATAAATGTGTTTGAAGTGTTGGAGGTGTGCGAGTCACAAGTTATAGTCTGTCGCCTGCAGCCTTTTTCAGCTTTCTGTGGCTCAGTGTTTGTATCGTTCCTCCCTCGTGTATTAAATCTTCCAACATAAAGGTTTTAAAGGGATCTGCTGTCAAAAAACGCAACTTAATCTTAAAACTGGACTTTTACATTGAAATTGCTCATTTGTTTTTGGAATACCTTGAAATAAAATGATATTCCTAAACAGCAGGAGCATTAGCTCACTACGAACGCTGCGTTAATGTGTCTTATAAACCTAGAAGGGACAAAACCTTTATTTTTTCTGCGTTTGTCACACTTGCTGTTCTTTATCTTAAATGCTTCAAAGTCTTAGAGAGATAAGAGATTTGCATGCTACGTATGCATGCTGTGCTCACTGACCAGAAAAAAAGAACATTGCCATAAATGTCAAATTATACATTTATAATCATACAGAGCTGCACCATGTACTCATTTTGGACATGCAGAGCTTTATCCATGCACTCAGCCTACAGATAAAAACAGAAACAGACAAACTGTCACAAAACAAATTAAACACTGGACCTCAGAAATTGAGAGTATCTTGCAGGACTGTTTTGCACCGACAGACTGGGATATGTTTAAAACTAAAGTACTTTGTGATTTTGGAGGACTTTCTGTCAGTGTTCAGTTCTATGGTGTCCGTGGGCACGTCAGCACATGTGTTGAAACATTGTGCCCACCATACAAACCAGGAGATTCCCCAACCAGAATCCAGGCCTTCTGGTTGTGGCCAAGCCTTTAACAGTCAAGTACACTACTTGCTGCATGCTCTTTCTCACACATTTAGATTGGGCAAGGAAACCGAGTACACCATCAGCTTCACAGACAGCCTGCCTGAAAACCTCAACACTTTCTACACCCGCTTTGAAGCTTGTTACAACACAGAGCTCTTAGAGCATGTGCTAATGAGCTGTTTAATGTTCTCACCTCCACCTTCATCCTCTCCCTCAGCCAGAGCACTGTTCCTTCCTGTTTCAAGACCACAATTGTCTTCATCCCCAAGAAGAGCCCATCCTCCTCCCTCAATGACTACAGGCCAGTAACACTCACTCCAATCATCAGGAAGTGTTTTGAGAGAATGATGCTGGCCCACATCCAGAAGACCATGCCAAAAACACTGGATCCCCTGCAATACGCCTATCGGCCCAACAGGTTGACTTTAGATGCCATAGCCACTACTCAACTACTACTTTTCCCACCTGGAGAACATAGACTCCTATATCAGGATGATTTTTGTGGACTACAGTTCCGCCTTTAACACAGTCCTCCTCCAAAAACTCACCCATAAACAGTCCACACTTGGCCTATATACCACCCTCTGTGACTGGTTCCTAGACTTCCTGACTGGCAGGTCCCAGTCTGTCAGGACGGGCATCAAGACTTCAGCCAGCATCATCATAAACACTGGAACCCCACAGCAAACCTGAACAGAACATTAACAAGAACAACACATTTCCACACTCAGAAACATTATAAACAATCAGAAACGTTGTAAATATAATTTCCACAAGGCTACATGCTGGGTAGCACTGATTTATGAACTGTTAGCTCAGCTAATCAGGGTTAGGGTTAGGCTTGTTTCGGAGCATTGCACAGTCTGACCTTTGGGGTGAATATACTGGGTCATCTGCTGCTGCACACGTTGGCAGATGTCTTAAAGGTTTTTCACTTTTGTATAAAATAGTATTCATCTCTGTGAAGCGAGGGTCCAAATCACCTTGAACCTTGCCCAGCTTTAAAGGCAGCCCCGTGTGTTTCTATAAGGTCATTGCTGATGTTTTTCCTTCTTGGCATTGTGGTAACACACTCCCATGCAGCAGTCAAATGACGGAATGCATCTTTTAAAGAAGTGGTCACTCTAAGGATGACCGGTGTGGTGGGATTTAGCTCATTTTATGATCTGAAGGGTCTGATCCATAAAACATTTAGACAGAAAGAACATGTGTTTACTTTAGTGTGTCTGAACCTTTGACTCAATAATCTGGCCTGTTGATCAAAGAGACAGTTGCCTTCTATGTAAAAAGTTGTTTTCTCAGACAGACTCCATCTGTTTGCCGAAGGCCACAGCTGACCTCAGTGATAGTGACAGATCCAGTTTTTCTCAGCAGATTTCAAGAATTTGCCCGGCAGCTTCATACTCCACCTTTCATCAGTCTTATCTGTTCATCCACCGCAGACCCATTAGTCTCCACTACAAGAAGATTTGGCTGAAAATGAATCGTATTTCAGACAATATCTACTATATAACATTCACAATGAACAATTTCCACAGTTTTTACCAGCATCCACAGACCTGTCTGTGATAACAACCTAATTATCCCTTTTGAAGGTGAGTGGTCATAGCAGCGAGGTTTCCTGCTGAAACACCCTGTACTGAACCATGAGCTGGAATCAGCTGAAGGTGTTTGTGTTTCCTGGCAGGTTAACGGTTCAAGCTGAGTGTCCGATGCACCTGGAGGACTTCCCCATGGATTCACACTCCTGTCCTCTCAAGTTTGGCAGCTGTAAGTGTCAAAACCACCAGATCTGTCCAGAACATCCTCACAGAGCTGACATTAGCGATAATAATTGTTAGAGGCAGAGAAGACGTGTTTGTGGAGAGAAGCAGGTAAAATGGGTCTTTTTCACAATAGCCTAGTTATTAAAATAGAATATTATACACAGAAACAGCTTCACGTCAGATCCTGGTACTAAATTGAACAAATATGCTCTAATATAAAGATCAATCAATCAGATCAATTTTATGCTGTCCTAATCACAACATCTGGTAAATCAATGACTCTTCACATTCAGAATCATTCAGCTCCTGTTTGTTGTGATGGTTGTAGACGCCTACACCAAGACGGAGGTAACTTACATCTGGACCACAAACGCCTCCCACTCTGTGGACGTGGCCGCCGATGGATCCAGGCTCAACCAGTACGACTTGATAGGACAAACTGCGGGGGAGGAGACCATTAAATCCAGCACTGGTGAGCAGCAGACAGAATATTTAAAATGCTAAATTGTTCATTCATTATAACCTCAGCTGATCATTATTATTTTTTGCATTTAAATATTTTTAAAATTACATTTTGAGCGAATTAAGATTTTTTTTTTACCTCTTTAATGAGCATATTTACTGAAAGGGGAAGAAACCAAATGGATTAAATAATTTAAAAATAATTAGAACCAAGGCAATCATGCATTTTAAAGAAAAAGAAACGCAATTAACTGGTTTAAAAGTGTGCATGTTTATGACTCATTCACACTATTGTGATCCATTTTTCTTCCGTACATTTTTGGCGTGATTCTCGTCCTGCAGTTTTCAAGCTATTGTACTTCAGCAAATCATAAACCAGGACAATCCTGCTATGACTTTTGGTATTGGTGCAACTTTAGCTTTTTGAAATATTTAGCCTTTTCTTCCTTTTTTTTCATATAAAATTAATTGAGCTCGTTTTACATCCTTCATATCTTCAGATCTGTTTACAACCTTTTACTGCTCCTTTCACATTTTGTTCTGGTTCAGCTTCTTTCTTCCTTTTGCAAAGTTAAACTTTTTTCAGCTACTTTCAGCTAACTTCAGCTGTTTTGTGCTCCTTTCAGATTCTTTCTGCTAACTACAACATTTTTGTGCTTCTTCTAACTTCTTTCTGCAATTTTCTGCTTCTTTCAGCTCATTTCTGCAAGTTTCAGCTTTTTCTACAATTTTAGCTACTATGCTAATTTAAGCTTTTTCTGCTAATTCCACATTTTTTGCGCTCATTTTGGTTTTTTCAGCCTAATTCAGTAAAAAAGAACTCTCTCCACTTCCTACTGGTAATTTAAGTTTCTTTCTGGTTTTGTAGCTACTTTTTAGCTGTTTTTTTTCCTAATTTGAGCCTTTGTCAGATAATTTCCACTTTTTTGTGCTAAGTTCTGCTTCTTTCAACAAGCATGTATTCTTTCTGCTTTCATCTGCTAATTTAAGCTTGTTACACCTTTTCAGCTACGCTTTTTAGCATTTGTAGCTACTTTAAGAAGTTTATTTTTTATTTTTTAGCTCATTTCATTCCACTTCCTTCTGGTAGTTTAAGCTTCTTTCTGCCTTTTCAGCATTTTTCCGTTATTTTTGTTGTTGCTAATTTCAGCCTTTTTTTATTTTTATTTTTTTTTAGCTAATTTCCTAGTTTTTGTGTTCATTTTTGATCATTTAAATCTAATTCATAAATCTAAATTAAACATTGAAAACATTTGGATTAACGTTTGTTTTAAATCTTATTTCCAGAACCTTAAAGACTCCAAAAAGCAAACATTTCTTAAGTTAACATATATGTTGTCACAAGAGCCGGTTTACAAAAATAATGTTTTTATATACCTAAAGCGTATTGGAGAGACATCTAACTATGCTGCAACAAGAAAAAGCCTGAAAAATATTTTCGAGATTGTCTGCCTTAAAGAAAATTTATTTTCCAATTCTCTTTCTGGAACAAACATTTTTTCCCACGCCTGATTTAAACTGAACGTTTCAGCTTTACAATACATTTAATCCAGAGGAAACTCTGCTGTGTCTCTCAGCCTTGAAACTAAAGTTCAGTAGTGGAATAATAATGCAATTTTATATGTTTCCAGTGCAACTGATTTAATTAGGTTCATCTTACTGAAACTAATAGAGTTATTGCGCAATAATTCAGTTGTAACCACGTTGAGGCTTGAGTTTTAATAAATACCTCTCACTTCATCTGTAGCATAATTAATGTACAACAATTTAAGCATCATATTTTCTCTCTTCTGTCAGTAATTGGTGTTATTTTCCCAGCTGTGGGCTGAAACGTGTTCTCCTCGTCTGGAGGTCGTCTACCTCCAGATTTCCCAGCAACACAATTGTTTTCTCTTCTCTCATTGAGGTTTCAAAGTGTTTTTAATCACAGCCAGCAGGCAGAATGGAAGATGGCTACTGGAGCAGATTCCAGTGATTTTGTACCATCACAATCGTCTTCAAATGTTGAAAATGCAGCTAAAAACAGCTGGGATGAAAAAAACAAACAGTTGAATATTTTAACTGTTGTACTAAAACCAGCTGGAAACCCCCCCAGTAAATAATCTGTTGTCACATTAACCTCCTTTTTAAAAATATAAACCAGTCTCGTCATGTTCCGGGTGTATATTTGTATTTTTGTTGCTCTCAGGTGAATACACAGTGATGACCGCTCACTTCCACCTGAAGAGGAAGATCGGCTACTTCGTGATCCAGACGTACCTGCCGTGCATCATGACGGTCATCCTCTCTCAGGTCTCCTTCTGGCTCAATCGGGAGTCGGTGCCAGCCCGAACTGTGTTCGGTGAGTCTTTACAACCAAAACTCAACTTTAAACTGAACTAGAAACATCATCTGTGTTCGAAAATGGAGTTAATAAAACATGTAAATGAGCTAATGTCACTTAATCCTTAACTTTTAATTATCCATTTTTTTTCACATGAAAGTGATCATTTTAAAAAAGTACGAACCAGATGGAGCTAATGGTGACATTTGTGAGAAATTACTAAAATCTCAACAATAAGAAACTTAAAACGTAGTGGAATTAGGTGATACAATAATTTCCCAAATTTAAAATGAGCAGAACAGAAGCTGAAACAAGCAAAAACCACAGCTAAAAGCTTAAAGTAGAAACTAAAAATATCCTAACTGTAGCTAAAATGTTAATGTAGCAAAACAGCCGTTTAAAGCTAAAGTTTGCAAAACCATAGGTCAACGCTAAAATTACTGTAGAAGCTAAACGAAGCTGAAAATTATGCTAAAGTAGATTTCAAAGATAACATTTTCTTAGTGTGATCTCAATGTATTTCTGTGGGGAAAAACTTTTGCAAAAAAAAGAAAAAAGTTTAATTTAAAATTCGTAAAAGTTACAAACACTAAAACGGATATGACAATATTCCTGATTGAGATAAACATTTTGATGTATGAACCGTTAAAGTAGCTTAAATTGGCAGAAGTAGTTAGCTTGCAAAAATATACAGAATAAAGTATTAACAGGAAAACATAAATGATGACTCAGCATTCACACAATTACCTGACAACTTTATGTAAGTTCTGTTTGTATACAGTGAAATGGACTGTACTTGTATAGCACCTTATCTGTCCTCATTTACCCATTCATACAGCACTCTACTAGATCTATACAAAGAATAATCAGAGCGTTATCACATTCATACACCAATGAGACACACATGAAGGCAATGAGGGGTTCAGTGTGTTGCCCAGGGACACTTCAGCATGTGACTGCTGGTGGAATCAAACCCCTAACTCTTGCACTGGAGGATGACTGCTCTAACCACTCAGCCACAGCCGCCCCTTAAAAACGTTCTACACATGAAAAAATTGTAATCCTGAAAACGTTTCTCCAATTTGGGCGCAAGTTCCCTAATTTTAGCCATATCATTATGACCATGCTTACTATTGATGGGACCTGATTTTTATGTCCAAACATTCCTGATCAGAAAATCTGGAGTGTCTGGTACCAGAACATTAGAATCACAGTGGAGTTTCTGTAGACTGTCTTTGTCCTACAAATGTCATCACATCTCATTAAACTGACATTTGGAGAGTTTCAAAGTCAAGGTAACATCTCAAAAGTTTTTGCAGGAGGTTCTGTGTGCGGGTGTGATTAATCTGTAAAACAGATATGGTGACATTCACGTAAAGGCAAATACGCTTGTTTACCTATCAGATCATTGCTTTGGAACTGAAATAACAATGCTGCTCACTAAAAGAATACAATCAAATAGTATCTTAAGCTACATTTACACTGCAGGTTCTTTGCCATCAGTAATAGCTCGATAAAACAGTTATACATCTTTTTATACTGTGTATGGAAAAATCCAGCTTCATCTGTATAAATAATCAAAGATTTAGTTAACATTTTATTTCTCTTGTAGGTGTGACTACAGTTCTCACAATGACTACCCTGAGCATCAGTGCCCGTAACTCGTTGCCAAAGGTGGCCTATGCCACCGCCATGGACTGGTTCATTGCCGTCTGCTATGCCTTTGTCTTCTCTGCGCTCATTGAGTTCGCCACCGTCAACTATTTCACCAAACGAGGCTGGGCCTGGGATGGAAAAAGTCTAGTTAATGACAAGGTGAACCTGCCATAGAGTCATTCTGTCAGAAACGTTTAGCAAAAATCTCATTTTTTAACGTATTTAAGCACATTTTCATGCAAATCTCTGGCTCCCTGACATATTTTCAAACATTACGAGGTTTAACCCTTTAGGTAAATATGTTCTCATGGATTTTCAAGAACGACAAATCTGCTATTTGACAAAGAGTCTAGCTTTGCATGCATCTTCAAACTCCTTGACTTCAAAAGGTTTAATGACTCTGTGGCGATCTGCCTGCAGAAAAAAGAAGCGACCGTTGTGAAGAAGAACAACGCCTATGCCGTGGCGGTGGCAAACTACGCACCCAACATCACGAAAGACTCCACGCTGCCCACCATCTCCAAGTGCGCCGTGAACGAGCCCATCAAGCCCGCGGCAGAGACCAAGTCCGAGCAGAACAAGAAAACCTTCAACAGCGTCAGCAAGATCGATCGCATCTCGCGCATCATGTTCCCGGTTCTCTTTGGGACCTTCAACCTGGTCTACTGGGCCACCTACCTGAACAGAGAACCAGTTATTAAAGACTTGGATCCCACTAAGTAAACTGCAGCGCTCATTACAAAAAAAAATTCATTCAGAACATAGATCTGTTTTTGTCAGTTTGAACACATGAATGAAAAGTTCCCTTCTCTCATTTCTTTCTTGGCTCAGTTTTGATCAAATATTATAGACTTGTGGAGAGAAGAGGGCTAACACTACATTTGATACAAAAAGGATGGTTTTGATGGTAACAGAATACAGGGAACAATGTCCTTAACCCTAACCCTTAAGGTACTGTGATAAATGCTGCCTGCAGTTCCCTTCAGGCCACCAGTGTTTTAACGTCAGCTTTAAGTCTGGCTAAAGTTACACTTCTTCACTGTACACGTCTTAGACAAGGTCTGATCCATATATTTAGTGCATCACAGCGAAATTTTAAGTGATTCATGAAGCGTTATGTAGCGGCTGAGAAACCAAACGCGTTGTTTCTGAGGCGAATTTTCATTTGTGTTATTAAAATAGCTTTGAGGGAATTAATGACATCCAAGTTTATCAAAGAAGATAAAAGGATCCAGTAGAAAATTCAAACACCAGCTGTAATGTGTTCGGTTTTTAGTTGGATTGTCAGGAGTTTATATGAAACGTGACGGTTTTTAAGTCTTTACCTCATTTTTCCAACATTCTAATGTAGCATCGCAGGTGAAATTGACTTCCCCTCAGGTCGTCAAAGCTTTGCCACTTTAGTTGTAACGCCATGCTTTAAGTGTCTTTCACCATTAAAAAGAACTGGTGAACACATCCACTTCAGCACCAAAATTTAGGAAAGCTTAAATAGTTTTCAATAAGCTGATGAGAACTAAAAGTAAATTTTAGTGAAGGGGTCAAATATTTTTCCCAACCAGAAACCAACACGATAGTTTTGCTTTTTTTTTTTTACAAACTACAGAGACATTTTTAGTTTTTTATGTTGCTGTTATACGTTTCTTGACACTGCTCAGGCAACTCGTGCCTTAATTAACCAACAGATCAGCACTTGTTTGAATCGTTTGCAGTCCGGCAGTGTTGAGACTCATGTCATGTTGAAAACTACAGATCAAATCATGTCTAAAACCATCTTTGCATTGATTTTTGTTTTTTAATCTTCAGATAACAAAATGTATTTATTAGATTTGGAAATAGAACCAAACAAAATATCACTACTTGTTGCTGATTCAGATAGATTAAGGGCTTTGGGGCTTTTATTTAGTTTTATTTTGTTGCTTTCTGTGGGGCGGCTACGGCGTAGATGCAGGACAGCTGACTTGGGACCAAAAAGTTACAGGTTCGACTCCCACCATGCACATACAGGTGCATCTAAAAAAAATGAGAATATTGGGAAAAACTTAAATTTTTTTGAGGTCAGTCATTTCAGGAAGTAAAACTCATAAGTTATTTATATTCTTTCCGTATAGAGTGAAATACAGTATGTCAAGCCTTTATTTCTTGTAATTTTGTTGAATATGGCTTACAGATAATGAAAAAACAAAATTCAGTGTCTCAGAAAATTAGAATATTCCACGGCCAGCTTTTGGTACTTTTGTCAGTGTGGGCAGGAGCCAAGTCCTGCTGGAAAATGAAATCAGCTTCTCCATAAAGCTCGTCAACAGAAGGAAGCATGAAGTGCTCCAACATGTCCTGGTAGATGCTGCATTGACTGTGGACTTCAGAAACCCGGTGGACCAACACCAGCAGACGATATGAACCCAAACCATCACTGACTGTGGAAACTTCACTCTGGACTTCAAGCAATGTGGATTCTGGACCTCTCCACTCTTCCTCCAGACTCTGGGACCTTGATTTACAAATGACATGAACATTTACTTACATCTGAAAAGAGGACATTGGACCACTGAGCAACAGTCCAGTTCTTCTCCTCAGCCAGGTAAGACGCTTCTGACGTTGTCTCTGGTTCAGGAGTGACTTGAGGAATGAGACATCTGCAGCTCACGTCTAGGAGTTAATCAGCTGATTGTGACACCAGGAGTTTACAAGCCTGAACCACATCACAATATTCTCATGTTCTGAGACACTGAGTTTTGGTTTTTCATTTTGTGTAAGCCATAATCATCAAAATTACAAGAAATAAAAGGCTTTAAATATTTAACTCTATGTAATGAATCTGTCATATATGAGCTTCACTTTCTGAAATAACTGACAAAACTTTTTCACGATATTCAAATTTTTTGAGATGCACCTGTATTTTGTGGTGTCCTTAATCCAGACAGTTATTTCCTCGCTGCTCCCCGGGCGCTTACAGAGACTCCCCATGCTACACCCGGGCGGACCCGACGTTTGATGAGTCAAATGCAGAGCACAAGTTTCATAATTGTATTGGAACATATAATATTACAAAATAGTTTTCTTCAGGGTTTCAATCAAAATGGCCAACAAGGGTAATAATAAAAGTTTGTTTCCTTTTCTTACCTTGAATAAAACAATGATGTCAACAGGTTACAAATGCCATAATAATGATTAAAATAATCTGACATCTCTTTATCAAAATTCATGGTTTTGTCAGTTTTATTTTATTTTTTTAGCAAATCTGTTTCCATTTCTCTAAATCAGTTTTGTGTCGTCTTAATAGTTTTGTTGTGTATCAATATGTTTATAACGCAGTAGCATTTGAGCAGTGTTTTGGTCTCGCATTCATTCACTTCAGATCGCCACGTTTTAAAAACAGTCACTTCCAGTGGCTCACTCTAGCTTTTTCTTTAATTCATTTTTTACAGTTTTTAAACCTTTTTATCCACTTGGTCTCCCCTCACGGTCAGTGACACACTGCGAAACACGATTCTGACTAAAAACACATTTGTGCATAAGTTTGAAAAATGAACTTGTTGTCATTATGTGTTTACGTGTCCTTGTATACTTTTGTTTATTAGCATAGTTTTTTATGAAATGTCGCACAAGTGAAAAACATTAGTTTTGAAATTATCAGTCTGTTGTATTGAATACTGTGTTCACGTGAAAATAACAATTTTTCTAAGTATTTTTTTCTGACAAAAAGTCTTTAATGTGCATTTAATTTGTGTGTAGCAAAATGAACACTGTGCTTTAAAGCCTCTTTAGCAGTTACGTGTCTTTGATAGAAGAATAAATCCAATTACTGCACAAACTAAAAGTTCAAACTTACAAAGTGAACTCATTTTTAATGAGTTACAATGAAAGTTTATGTGACACCAACTGCTTTGTGTTGTTGTGAAGATCTAACAGTTCTGTAATAAATATTATTCATTTTATTTGGAGACGAGTTATTTTTTTCCCTCATCTAGATGTCAAAAGAAACTTGGCACAGGATTCATAGTTTATTACCTTCTTTATCCCACATTCATTTGTTTGTCATTGTTTCAATCCACATTTTACCTTTTCACATAATTTGGGATAAGAACATCATCGAATGATAAAATTATGTGTCATACTCAGCAGCGTGGTGGACCCAGGGTACAAGCAAATACTCAGCAGACAGGCAAGTATAATTAAAAAAAGTATTTAATTATAATACTGTGTATATATAAACTTTACAGATGCACTAAAAACAAAATCCAAGGATTTGAAAAAAAAAAGGATACAAGAGGGACAATTATACAAACAAATGTGAGTATAGTTAAATTGCTAAAACTTCAGACTCAAAAAGTCCTTTGCATATTTTTTGGGATGTGCATCACTAATATCAGGACATTTTGTTTAGTTTAATGTCTCCTTGGGTCTATAATAAATGGGAATCGTGTCAGATCAGTCAGCAATGGGCAGGACTTGACAGTTTTTTTCTTAGTTCCTTTTTTATTCCTTGAATTTGTCTCTTTCTAACAATACTTTGTTTACCAGAATGACATCATTCAAGCTAAATGAGATGACTGGAAAGACCCAGTAGGCAGACAGAAACAACCTTTATTCTGGCACGAGAAGCAGAGGCCACATCCCCCATACATCGCAGCATATGGTTCGACGGTACATGTTTTAAGTCCAGCTCCCTCTGAGTCTTTTGAGATCTCACAGAGCTCTTTGACTCTGTGTTTGAACTTCCTGTAGTCCCAGAGTGAAAAAAACTTCACAAGAACAACCTGAAAGCTCAAACTGTGCAGCTGCAGCGTGCACGAGGATAAAAGTAAAATGGATTTCTTCGCTCTTTAAAGCTGATTTCAACTTTGGTCGTCTGTTAAAAGCCACCAGGAAGTGCAGCAAATCGACATGTGCTGCTTCAAGATGAAATGATTGTGGAGACAAAAAGCTTAAAATATAAAATAAAATATGCAAATATACCCCTATGGATTAGTTGAAATATTTCAATAAACAGATTAATTGTAATACTTTATATATGTCATTTTAGGGACGTTTTATGTTTAATTGTAACATATATTTTAAAATGTTTATTTTATGGACTTATTCTTCTAAAAACAAAATGAAATTCAATTGTTGCTTTGGTTCTTATTTAAATAAATATTATTATTATTTAAAATAAATAATAATTTATTACACATAAGACAATGTGGGCTCCTCCCATATTAGAGTTGCATTTGGGCCCAAAAAATCTGACCCGGCCCGTAGCCATAATGTCCAAACCCCACCTGACCCGACAAATTAAGAGTAATTACAGGTCCAAACCCGAAAAGCCCCCCAACAATTTTAATTTAGGTTTGACTGCTTGTATGATTATAACGGTCGGTGGACGTGCACGACCAGGGGGCAAAAGATCAGAGCTGAGGGGCGTTTGTCATTTCCTGGCTGTCAAAGCGCATTAAAGTATGTTACCATACCATACCATAAAAATCCCTGCTTCTACCTGCATTCTGCATTATTCAGACATGGACCTTGCTCTGACATGTCGGATATTTTGTGATCAGACATGTTTGGGTCGTCGGTTGTGCGCATCCACTGAGTGGAGCGGCTGAACGTCCATTTAGGTGATGGATTGCACCCTGGCAGTACCAGTAGTCCTATCTGAAGCTTAACTGAACTTTATTTTATCTCTTTCAAGACAGGTCAGCTTGTGTCAAATGGCCGCATGTGGCTGGTAAATGTGTGGTGTTGCCATATATTTGGATCATCAGCCACGCCCATCCAGCACATTATTACAGCCTGGCCCAGCTCAGCCCAAATTCAGGCTTTAATTTTTTAATTTAAACTACTTTGGTATAAAACATGTGCTCATTGTAAAATCACGCCTGGTTTGGATTCAGAAATTCTTCCAATTTTCATAATTTTTACATTTATTCTTTTTACATTTTAGGAGTATTCTTTTACATTTTACCTTCAGCTCTGCAGGTTTTTGTAGCTTAGCTTTGTTTCTGTG